AAAATCTACTCAGTATAATATATACAGAGTAGAGAAAGAATAATAAAAAAATAAAATAAATAACAAAAAAATAACAAAAATGAAAAGAATAATATAAAATATTGACTAAATAACTGAACAATCTGAATTACTGTTACTGCTATCATACATTGATAATTCATTATCTGACCAAAAAATTTCGTTATTATTTACATAACCAACTTGTAATGGAGTATAAGAATATTTTTAAATTACAGAATCAAATATTCCTCCATTCTGTGAAGAAGCTACTTGTTCTTTCTCAATATATTCATCATTTATTATTATAATAGAAGATTGACTTGATTTTTCTTCATTTTCTATTTCTTCAAAATCCTTATCTTCATATAATTTATTATTACAAGAAATATAATAATTACTTGAAAATAATGAATTACATTTTTCACAAAATTGCATTTGTTATTGAGATTGCTCACTTAAATGTAATAATATTTCTTCCTTCTCACAAAAAGTACAAAAATCATTTGGTTTTGGTGAATGACAATTTTCACAATATTTGTGAAGTGGTGATTTCTTTCCTTCAATACTTGTATTATAATAATTTTGCTCCATATTCTCTTGTAACAATTCATCATTAATATCGTCTAATATAATCAAAGATAAAGAAGTGTTCTCTGTTCATTTTGAATTATAATAATATTTACGATATATATATTTTCTTTTAAAATTATATATTGGTTTATTTTTTTGTCGTCTTATTCACAAGCTACGTCGTATAAGAATTTATGGATCTTCTTTATATAATTCTGTATGACAATTAAGCTTTTTAAATTGTTTAGATTATTTTGAAGTTTCATCTTGAATTACGTAAATAAAATTCTATTTGGTCAAAAGACTAAATAGTTAAAATAAAATAAATAAAAAAAAAACTATAAAATAAATTTAACAACAAAAAAAAAATAAAAAAATAATAAATAATAATAAAAAATTATTCTTTTTTAGTTTTCTTTAAAATTTTGTCTAGCCTTATAATATCAAATTCTACTCCCTTCTTTGGATCTGAAAAAACAGTATCTTTCCATTCAATAATTTCTTTAAAGAACTCATGATCTCTATCTTTTAGTAATTTTCTATTAACCAACATGAATAAAGTTTTTCTTGCTTCATAATAAAGTAATAAATCTTCCATAAATTTCGTGTGTTTACCAATATTAGGAAATACTTCAGCAAAAGTATCATTATTAACAGCATTATTTAATTCCCAATTCTTCAATTCAATAATATCTTTATAATCTTTTTCGTAGATTTTTCTTTTTTGTATCTTCTTTTTTTTTGTTGTTTTTGAAGTCTTTTCTTCAACTTCAGAGTTTACCAATTCTTTTGGTGACAAATTTTCTTCATCCTTTTCAACTTCAGAAATATTTCGTTTATTATTTTGTTTTTTCGACATTATAATTGAATAAAAATTAAATTGATAATTATATGAATAAAATTCTAATCGGTACATAAATACTGATTAGATTATTGTTGTTGTTTATTTAATAAATATGATAAGAAAAATATTAAGAAAATCAAAGAATATTTCAAAATAAATTTAATATTTGTTGATAATGATTTCTTACGAATAATAGAAAAAATCTTTTTAATAACTTCTGAATAATTAATATTTGTCATATCAATTATTGTAGAAACTTTCTTTGCTTGCTCAAGTTGTTTAAAAGAAAAATAATCACGATAAAGAACATTTGCAAAAATATTTTTAATATCTGTTGAATTAATTTGAAGTGAACGACGTTAAACTCTAATATCAATATTGGCAGATAAAACAATTTTAATCTCAGTGTCAGGTAAAATGTTGAAAGTCGTATCCCTTCCAACAACTACAAATCCTTTTTCTTTTGTAATTTGATATATGTATTGATTAATAATATGACATGCTTCTTGATTTTTTAATATTTTTGCACCTTCCTTCCCGCTTAAATAATAATCTTCATTACCAAGAGAATTGATTAATTTAGTTAGGAATCGAAAAATTCATCTTGTTTCACATTCTTTTTAAAGATTTCAATTGTCTTTGAATTATTTTCTGTGTTGTCTGAATATTGATAAGATAAATATCCCAAATATCAATAAAATATTCCAGAATCGATAAATCGATACTTTAAACTATTTGCTAAAGCAGATCCAATAGTTGTTTTTCCTACAGCTATTGGTCTATCAATCGCAATATTAATTTTTTTCATTGTTGAACTAAGAAAAATCTAATCGGTCAAGAGACTGATTAGAAACAAAAAGAAATAAAAATAAGCAAAAAAATATATAAAAAATATAAAAATATAAATAAATAAAAAAATAAATAATCAATAAATAAATAAAAAATACAAAAATATAAACAATTAAAAATAAAAAATAGATAATTAAAATAAAAAAATAGCCTAAAAGAAAAAAAATAAATTCATTCACATTCTTCTTTAATAGATGGTAAAACATATTTATTATTCAAATGTTTTGCTAAAATAAATAAATATTTCACGTGTTTTAAAGAATTTATTTCTAAAAGTTCCTTGAATAATTCATATTCTTTTAACAAAAAAAAATATTTTTCTTTAAATAATTGTGCTACATTTAGATTATATTCTGAAAATACAAAAATATAATCTTCATGATATTGACGAATACTGAAGAATGACATTTACATAACTAAAATTCTGATTGGTATTAAATACTAATCAGAAATAATTTATTTATTATTAAAATTAAAAAAAATGAATAAATATAATATAAAATATTTAACAAAAATCAAAAAGATCTACTTTTTTGTTTGTCATTCATTAATAAATATTGTTAAATGTTCATCATCTTCCATCATACCCATACAATAATGAGTAATATTATTAATATCAGATGAAAAATATTTACATTTTTTAAACTGTACATATAACCCATTTTTATCTTGTTGACCTGATGGATATGTATAACCACAAATATAAACATATTTACATTCTGTTAATATTTTTTTACATCCTGCACAATATTCATGAGAATGTGTATTATAACAATTCCAACAATAACCATCATTTAACCCATGAATGTATTTATGAGTCATATTAATTCTTCCAATTTCATTAGATTTCAAAAAAAATTCATGTTTATTTATACATCGATTTTTTGACAGATAATCATTAATATATTTGAATCCTTTAAATTTTGGTGTATAAATCAAATCTTCTGAAGATTCAATACCAATTACATTTGGTAATGTTTGTTGTTGGATTAAATTTGTTTGAAAATAAATATGATTAATAGAAACAAGAAAACTAATAAATGCTTGAAATAATTGACTAAAATGAAAATAAAATTGGGGATCCATTTTTTGGATATAAAATTTTCTGTTCGGTATATTTATACTGAACAAAAATTTGGTGATTGTGGATGATATACAGGAGATAATTCTGAATTTTTATTGAGACTAACTAATCTTGATTCAATCTCCAGTTTGTCCTTATCTAATTTTAATTTTTTCTTTGTTTTTCGACATTTAAATATTACTTGTTTGAAATTTCGAAGTAATTCGCATTCTTGTTTATAGATTGTTGAAGAAGTATCATTGAAATTCTTTACCCAAAGATAAATTTCATATTTCAACTTTAAAGTACGAAATTTTTTCTTAATTTTCATTAAAGATCCTTTTTTATTCATATTCAACAACTATTCATTCTTTGGAAGAGATTTATCAACAAATTGAAGAAGCTTAAAATATTCACAACGCTGTCGAAAAGAACATGAAGCTCATTGATAGCATGTGTCATAATGCCAAAGATGAGGATAAAATTTTCGTTGATATGCTTCTTTTTAAAAATCAGTTTTATCTGTTCCACATTTACAAACAAAAAAATCGTTAAAAGGTATATGTTCAGAATGTTGCAACATATCAAATTTTTCTTTTGCATCATGTTGGTTATATTTAACAACATAAGATCATGAAAAATCAATATTTCTCCATGAAATGCTATTACGAGTTACAAACGATTCATGAAATATCTTCTAACATAATAGAGAATATTTCGAGAAATTAGTTCGTATATCTCTCGTAATAAACATTTTGAAATAATAATTAAAATTAAAAAATAATTAAAATAATTATTTCTGAATACAGTTCGAAGAACTTTTGTATTCGTTATCAAATCCTAAGATTCGATACTGTTTTATGAACTGAAAAGCAGTCTTTTTATAGATGAAAATCAAATAACACTACAAAAAAACTAAGTTGTTTTCCATGAGATGAATTATTTTCACTTGTCAAATTCGAATTAAGATGAAGAAATTAAATTATACCAAATTCATAATTTACGAATTTGTATATGAATTACAAATTTGCCAGATTCGTATTTTACAAATCAAGCAGTTTATTGTCACAATAAGACTTCGATCTATACCAAATTCATAATTTACAAATTTGGGTGTGAATTACAAATTTGCCAGATTCATATTTTATGAATCAGGCAGTTCATTGTCAAAATGAGATTCTGGTCTAATCCAAATTTGTATTTTACGAATTTGGAACTAAATTACAAAATCAAATTTACAAGAAAAAATAAATTCATATTTTACAAATTTGGAAATGATTTACAATTAAATAATTTATACTTTAAAATAATATATAAATGTATTCAATATTCTATTACAAAATTTATGTAAAAATGAAACAAAAAGCCAAAGAACAAATCAAATCTTTAGTAGACAAAAAACAAAAAGTTAAATATCTCCCAGTTCCAATAGAACTTCTTGATATAATAATTGAATTTTATACAATACTTATTTTTAATAAAATAATTAATTCATATAGATGTAATATAACATCCAAAAATCACCCAAAACAAAGATGTAACAAAACATGCCTTGTGCAAAAATATTTTAAAATACGATTTGAAAAAAATTTTCTTTATTTATTTAAAAAATATTTTAAATTAAAACAACTTTGTAAAAATATCGGTGATATTTCCTTTCATTATCTCAAACAACTTATTAAAAAAGAAACTTTATTTTACACAATGAATGGGAAATTTATTAAATTTATAGGAGAAAAAGAAAATACAAATGAAATGAATTTTTGGAAAATTTTAAGTACAAATATTATAATACATGATAAATTTCATATCACTATACTTGGTACAGATTTTTTTATTTCTTTTGGTTGCTTAATTTTTCAAAACTTTGGTTATATAAATAAGTATAGTAAAAAATGTAATTGTCTATTTAATATGGAAAGATTAAATTTAAAAAAATCCGAGAAACAAAAAGAAAAACCAAATATTTATTATTATTATTCCTGTAATTTTTGTAAATTTTATGAAGTAGAGGTGTAGTGACTTAGTGAAGTGGTCTAGTTGTCACCCTCACCAAACATTATAGGAAGATCTCATGTTCAAATCCCAGGGACGGCGCTTTTGTAATATGGGAAAAGTCTGTGACGATCTTCACTAAGGTTGGCCTATAGAGGATCTGTCGAGACGAGGCTGTAATCTGTGGGCTGTGCATAGCACAGGTCACAGGACCAGAGATTGAAGCCCGTTTGGGAAGTCCCGAGTTGGGAGGTAGCAGTGATCTTCGATAGTACTACATGAAGGCTGAATTTGAACTGGGGCCCGAGATTGGTGAACCGAGTAATCAGGTCCTTTAGTGGGGGGACACACCAGCCGAACTGCCGGTTTAGACGCACTGGAGGAAAAGGCCATATGCTTCGAAAGTATGGACCAAGGGGAGGGCGTCCTTCAGGCACCTAAAGCCTGGGCAGACCAACC